GGACAAAAACCCCATTATATCAGGCTGCATGAGGTCTGCAAAATAGTCTTGCCTGTACCTGCTGAATTATGTCCATGACATGGTCTTTGTCAACACTAAGCTTATGAGAAAGGATCCTACATGTATATATTATTACATCTTGCGGGGTGGGGTGGTACTGCCGAACTTGGAGCATTAGCAGAATAGATCACAGCAGTTAACAGGGACAAGGACTGTGCCTTGCTTTACCACAGTTGTTCTCATGGGAGAAAGGCACTCCATAACCGAGAGTGCTGGAGTACCGCACTCAGCACCAACACTGGAGGTGTCCCACAACAGGTTATCTTCAGAAAAGTAAAGTTATTGATAGCAATTTTTCCATTCATTAACAGGCCCATCCTGTTAATGATCTTGATCTGTGCATTATGGACAGGGTTCTCCACAGAATCTTATAACTCTGTAATCAAAAAAAAAAAAAAAAAAAAAAAAGCTAGCAAAGAAATTTCACGTTTTCATATCCCGCAGCACAACAGGTTTGTTGCCTTCCCAGATTTGCCACTAGAGAAGATCAGGACTATTCAGACGAGTAATCACATCTGTTTCAGTGTGCAGCTGCTATGTCTTCAACTGCAGTTTAATGAGACTCCTAAAATGTTTGGTCCAGGATGAGCTTCTGATCTTCAGTGTCATTATGCAAGTCTGTTATACTTCTAGCTTAAAAATGTTAAGAACAGCTGCGCTGCTGAAAAGCTGGTTGAGAAGATATTGGCATTGCTATTGTAAGAAGAAGGTGCTGATCTGTGAATATTCTGACTTCTCTAATATCTATCTTTAAACTTTCTGTTCACACATCTTTTTTCACATAAAAATATTGATACAAAAACAAGTTCTATCTTCTCCTCCTTTTTTGGGGATTGCAGGGTCATGAGTAAAGCCTGCGTGTTCCTAGTTATGGAGAAAATGTCAGGTAAGAAGGAATTCTTAAAATTACATTGAAAAATAACAGGAATGACCTGAAAGATGAAATAACACAATTCAAAGTAAATACAATCTTAAAGGATGGGAGTGTTCAGACACTGGAACGAGCTACCAATGTAAATGTTGCAATCTTTCTTGACATATTCAGATCAAAACTAATTCCTTTCTAAAAGATACTATTTAGCCAAAAATACAAATTCCTATTCAAGCAAACACAGCTCTGTACAGTACTGACTGGGTGAAGCAACAATGACCTGCAATTATGAGACTCCATGGTAATTTTTTATGGTCTTACATTATAGAGTAAAATTCTGAAAATATACTAAAATAATCACTGAAATGATACACTAGTGAGAGTTGCTTAGAAAACCCATTACGTAGCTCAGATATCCTTAACAGGTTTCTAACTTTATTCCCAAGCTAGTTTTAAAAATGCAGGCCATCTTTGTCTTATATCAGTACACACACATAAGGGCAAAGGTCTAAGACATAAGTGTTTGAGTGATTCAAGTGTAAAATAGCATCAGAAAAAGTCCTTGGAGCATGAAAAAACACCTTTGTATCCTGCTTATTCAGGCAAATCAGAAGTAAACAGTATTACTTTAAATTTTATTTTACTTTTTGACTTGTAAAAGTTTTAGGGCTGAAAACAAGCAAGATAATTTTTGGGAAAAGTAACTGAAAGCAATTTGCAAAGTAGTATGATATTGATTAGCAACATTTAAAATCATTGCTAAATCTTCCTGGTTCATTTAAAAACAAAAATAAGACTATTAATGATCAGATAGCCTGATATTGGAAGCGATCACTCCTTTGTAAGCTAATGATATGGTAACAGGAGAAAGCTTGCTGCATTCTATAGTTTTTGCAGATGCTTTAGAACAAATAAATGTTTTAATAACTCTTTATTTCTTACCTTACAAAACCAGATAGTTAATCTGTGGAATTATTTATAGTTATCAATCTTTTATAAGCTAATTTGGTAGTGATATTGTTAAAATTATGGAATACACTATCTTCTGAAGTCTCATAAGAAAATCTGCCAATTCAACAATGATGATTTCTCTTTGCTTTTTGTCCTAATCCAAAACTTTGAAATTTCATGCTTCTCTACTGCAGTCCCATGCATATCTCCATCCTTACATCTGACAATCAGTAGCACTTTTTTGTCTACTTCTCAGACCGCCTAAAACAGTTCAATTCAGGAAAAGAAGCTAAACTTTGCAATGTGTATTTTGTCCACATTTCCATTATATGCATCAGCCCCTGTTGTAAGGGTAGCACATCATGTGGGACTCCTCCAGGTAAAATGAACTACCTGAGATCTCAGAGTTTGCACTGTATTTCCTATACACCAACCTATCATCAGTCAACCAGCACAATAAAGAGCAATGAAGCCCCAGTCAGATTAAATCTGGTAGAGGAAAAATGTACTTTTCTCAGCTCCTTTTTCTGGAACAGACTCAATGTTAACTAAAACTGGGTATGAAGGAAGATCATGTATGAATAATATCTTTTGCATGCCTGTAAATAGCAACATACTGTCTAGAATAAGTCAGAAAGCTGAATTTTGAACATGAAATAGCATCCTTTTTGTAACAACTTTGACCTATCTAGTTCAGTAATATCCAGGCCTGTTTAGGGGGTGGGAGGTGGTGGTGGCAGCGTGCATTTGTTTATTATGTGGGGTTTTGGTAGGAGGTGTTGGGTTGGGTTTTTTTGTTTATTTTGCTTTTGTTTTTTTTTTTTTTTTTTTTTTTTGTTGTTTGTTTTGTTTTGTTTTGTTTGTTTGTTTGGGTTTTTTTGTTTTTTGGTTTTTTTTTTTTTTTTTTTTGTTACATAGTAGCTGGTTTTAAGATTTAGGGAAAAGACTTGAAGCTTAATAGGAAAGTATCCAGTCAACAGTCAGTTGGCTTTAGCTTTTAAAAAGTATATTTAAACTTGGTAAGCTGCTTCTACTTAACAGTTTATAAACCTAGCATGTTAATTCAGTGCTCTGCAATAATGCATCCACCACCTTAAGGAAGAATCATCTTATTCCCATGCAAAATGTTATCTTTGTCTTCAGATAAACAAGTTCTATTTTTTTTTTTTTTCTCTGACAGAGAGTTTCCCTGTTGCTGTTTTTGTTTTCTTTTATTTTTTTTTTTCCACTCCTCTCCTGGAAGGATGTTTATCATTCTGAGACTAACTATTTCTAGTTAGGCAAAGCTTTTTCCTTCTCCCGCCTGCTCCTCTTCACCCCTTCTCCCCCCTCCAGCAAATATATTAAACAGAAAATACAGTCATTCATCACAACAAGATAAAAATCAGAAAGTTGACTCAAGAAATAAAACTGAATTGCTTAGTAAACTTATAGAATTCCTATATCATATGGCGTAAAGTACTATGAAGATGCTAAAGATGTACAAAACCCAATCATTTTTTTAAATATCTGGAGAAGAGACCATGCCAGGGCAGGGCTGATGCACATACAAAAAAGCAATAAAAGTATTGAAATCTACTCAGGCTTGCTCTGTCTGACTACAGGAAATTATAAAACCCCTCTGATTGCTTTGTCATCTCTTTTACAGATTCTCACTTAGTTACCCTATGTATATTATGACAACATTTGAAAGGAAACCATGGGCTTTTCTTTGACTAAAACCAGACAAAAAATAAATGATTATGCAAGACAGATTTTTTTTTTCCCCCTTATAGGTTAGAGTTGTGTAAAGAACAATTCATGTAGTTATTAATGAGATTTGGGGTTTGTTCATTGTCAGCCTTTGAGAAAAATAAGCGTGTTTTCATTATTTTAGAGATAATCTCTTCCTGCAGTATTCCAGTCCCATGGTGCACTTCAAAAATGAGTACAGTTAATGGTGACAGACTTTCAGATAAAAGGAGTTCAGAAAAGAGCCACTAATACTGAAAGAAGTACTACAAAAAACAGTGGCTGGTTCTATTAAGATAAATAACTTGGTCCCAGTTTCAGAACATGATGTATGGGAAAGTATCAAATTAGACAGCACCTGGGAAGTTAAAGAGACAAAATGAACATGATTGTTGAAAAAGGTTATTAATTTCTCATAAAATTAGACTTTGTTGAGTTATTGAATTAACAAATATGATTTATTTTTTTTAATGAAAGTATAAAGCCTTTGAAATCTTACCCTTTCACAGACTGGATATAGAAGTACAAAGAAAGACAAAACTTCTGTTAGCTTTGCAAAACTAAGGTATTAATAGTTACTCATTGTCAAGTTGCAGCCTTTACTTTCCCCTTTTCTATTGATGCACTATTTTTACTGACAAGTATATTTATTTAAAGAAGTTAATTTCGAGTCATTTCACTACATTAGATATTATGTCTGACTTACAATTATATCCTGGAGCTACTGGGTCTCTCATTCCTTTCTGAACAACAAACTGACTATTTCCAAGCAGAATGTACCAAGTCCAATGCAGATTCTCTGTAGCTTCCCTTCTGTGGTACAGCAAAAACATATTACACAGCAGAGATTCTGCACCCTTACAGAGGTCTCACATTAGACATGAGCTCCTGCTGAAGTCTTCAGTGTTGTTCCAGTAAAAACTGGACTGAGCAAAGTTTAGTTTCTCTTCCAAATACTCAGAGAGGGGAGGAAGGAGAATGGAAATTCGTGAAATATGCCCATGAGTTGCAGAGATTGCCCCACTGGCAGCCATTGGTGTGGGTGCCGGGGGACACACACACTTGCTCTCCAGTCACCGCAAGGCCACATCCCCCTTCCTGACCCTTTTGTGCAGACTGACAAGCACGGTCCCTCACACACATGCACAGGAGGCTCCTGTCCCTGATGGGAACCACAGGGGTGACCCTCATAACCTCTGGCTCCACAGCTAAACACGTCCTCAGCTAAGCTTCCTTCTTTGAAACTACCTGTCTCTGCTCGGTGGCGACTCTGGTCCAGCCGTTACCCGCCCCCCCCACACCACCACCCCGTGGAGTAGCTCTCCGGTACGGCCGGGGCCTTCCTGCTGGGCTCCCGCGGCTGAGCACGGGAAGCGGTTGCCCTTACCTGGAGCGAACACCATGGTGCCGCCCGGGCTCAGCACCCCGGGCAGGTCCGGGATCCCCACGGCTCAGCACCCCGGGCGGCTCAGCACCCCGGCCCCGGGCGGTTCAGCACCCCGGGCGGCTCAGCACCCCGGGCGGCTCAGCACCCTGGACAGCAGCGCCCCGGCCCCGCGCGGCTCAGCACCCCGGACAGCGCCCGGCCCCGCGCGGCGCCGGCTGCGGGCCGCGGTCCCTCCCTCCACACTGCGGCGGGGCGGGGGGGGGGGGGGGGGGGGGACCGGGGCGCAGCCACACGGACGGACACACGGACACACACACGCACAGGCTCTCAGGGAATCATCGCTGCCACTCGTCGCTGCCCTGCAGCGGGGGGAAGGGCAAAGAGGAGAAAGGGAATAGCGACCTGCCCAGCAGGGAGACCGGCTAATTGTGCCTAATTACCTCTCGGCAACAGCTCCGCTGCCTGACGTGTCGGGGTGCGCTGCTTTCACCGCGAGCTGACAGCCCTGCTAATAGGCTCCCGCGACACCGGACTTTGTCACCGCATTTTAGTTTTCAAAGGTTCAAATGCTGAGGAATTTATACCTCTGATTTCACAGGCCTGTTAACCCCGCCGCACCGAACAGAGAACTTTGATTTAAGGGGGAACATGAACGTTTCAGCATATAAAAGATGACATCAGGGTCAAAAGGCAATTAAATTAATGAATAAGTAATAAGCTAGAGAAGAGGAGGGCAAGCAGCAGGACAAGACAAAACTTAAGATTTTTCCACCAACTTCTATATTTCACATTTGATTAGCTTTTATTTGTAAAACCCATGCTCAGATTTCCTGTGGACCCTGAACTTCAGCTACAGAATTGAGAAGCACAACAGTGAGATGGAACACAATTTAGAGGAACTCACTCTCCTATTTAAGCCTAACCTGCAAGAGGTATTTTGAATAATATTATCAGTGCAAATTAGAGAAAGTAGTTTTTTAAAAAAAAAATCAGCATAAATGCTTGCATGTAAATTTTTGCAATATGCATTACATTTTCCCATAACCTATGAACATTCCTACAAGCCTATTTAATTATTTTCATAGTCAAGCATTTTATACACACAGAATTCTCCAATTAAATCTGGAATATTTTAAGTCTCCAAATAAGGTGTTATTCTGAAAATACAGATACAGAAAAGCACTGACCTGCTTAAATAAATCTGCCTATATACTTAATACACTGATATATACTTCATAAACTGGTGACAGTTTTTTCCTTTTTTTTGAGAATATTATATAAGACCATTTCTCCTTGGGAATACCTTCTAGATTTATCTTCACCTACCGTTTCTAGTATCAGATTTCTGGTTATTCCTTTTATTCCCCTTCACAATTTCAGCTTCTTTATTGCCATTTGTTTCTCTCTCCTGTCTTATATTTTAGAAATTCAATTTCACTTCTCTCAGATGGCAACTGAATTAACTAACCCAGACATTATACCTCTGGCTGCTCAAAAATGGTGTTTCCTCTGAGAATATTACTTCAAAAATCTTTATTCTAAACTTTTTTCATCTATCATCATTCTCATTCACCTTTAGTCTCAGAACTAACAGGATACCTATGAACTGAATTAGAACAATTTTCAGTACAAGTATCACACATAAAATGCAGAAAAGATTACAGTCAGCAATATTCAGCATTCTTAAGAGAAAGGTGAAGGATACCCTATTTTCTAAAGATTCTCAGGACTGAATTTGGGAAGATTGTGGGAAAACTTGTGCTGGCATTTTTAATGATGTATCTGTTATGTGGCCCCTACATACCTGATTCACGTGTTCAATGGAGATTCAGCCATCATAAAAAAAAAAAAAAAAAAAAAAAAAGATGTTAATCCACTTCTAAAAACCCCCAATCCTACTAGATATATCTTTAATTACATACATCCTCAAAATAAATCACATGTATGTTTCTAAGGGATTGGGTTTCAAGACAGTGAAGCAGCTTGTTAAAAGATTTTCAAAACAATAAATATGATTCAGTGATCTGAAAGTCTGTAAGTAACCTGTAAAACTCTAGGTGGGTATCTGCAAGTTGGTAACAGAACCTACACTATTTTGGTGAAATAATACAGATCATTCTATGTTCTATGCCTATCTTTCTTTAACTGCTACCTCTAATCTACTAAATTACTCAAAACAGGGATTTTATTTTAGAGTTTTTAGTTTTCTTGCTCAAATGAAAACCTACCAGTAATTAATGTTTTCTGGCAGAGGAAAAAATGTTATCAAAATGCATCTTGGGCCTCTTTTTTTCATGTAATTAATTTCTGAATTTCAGATTTGGTCACAAGTTCAAAATGCATAAAACTCACTGAAATAACTGGACAGGACAGAGTTCTGTAATGAATTGTCACCTTAAAAAAATGTGCTGTTAATGCAGTACAACCACCAAACCAAACAGTGCACTAATAATTATTCTCATTCAAGTTCAGATCAGTGGAAAACAACATCAGTTATGACCAGTTATTAAAAAAAACCCAAACCACTGAGAATGAAACACAGAGGTAAAAAATGTAATATCATTAAAATTCAATTGTTGTTCATTTAGAGATGTACCATCAACTTGTATGAAATAGAAAACATGAAAGTACTTACAAAAACATCTGTATAAATTTTTATTAGTAATTATACAGTCCCTGCCTTGTGTATCATTTAAGTTTTTACTGTTTCAGTGAGGAATTACTAGTTTCTGTATAACACCAGGAGACTTAAAAATTCTCTAGTACATACCTTCAAAGGTTTTTCTGAAGTCTTGGCTGACTTAGAGAATATTTTGTTGAGAAGTTTAACATTTTTAGATGGTTATAAAACTCAAATTGACTGATGTCACTTTAAATCATCTGTTGCTATTTGTAATTCTGTGGTTTTACATCTGAAGTAAATCCTTTATTCTAGTGGAACCAAAAAAAATTATTTGGTCACACAGAGTCAGAAGCTTAGTAAACATGTTTTAAGAAAGAAGCCATTTTCACCTGATGCTGTTTAATGTTTCAGTGTTTTGTTAACAAGAATGTGCAGCTAACGTTTTACATTTTTTGAAAGAAACATTTGGAAGTGATCACACTAAATATAAATGAAAATATTTTATATTAAAATAAAGATATATAGAGATAATTAGGAAGATTTTGTATGTCTACATCAAATGTTAATTTTATATTTTATAAAAAGCTTTCTTCCCAACTCTGAGAATGAATTAGCTCTGTGCTTTTTTTTTTTTTTTTATTTCTTCACACACCTCAACATTAATAATCAAACCTAGCTCTTTGGGAGGGAAGATTAGTATTATCAGTGAACTGCTTGATGTCTTTTGCTGAACTAGATACTATCATAATGGTCTTCAAAAAGAAATGACAGTCACTGACTATCTTATGGTTAAGCTTAACAATAAAAATCTTTACTATCCAAGGTGCAATGCATTGCATCTGAAACTGCAAGGAAATAGAGGAAATAACTGTGGAAATAATTGTGACTGTGTATGATCAAGCAATACCTAAAATGATTTAGATGAATATTTGAAGTATACCAATTGCCATTTGACAGTAGGGATGATAATATTCATTGTCCCAGATTTAGACTAGAACAATTAATGCCTTTGTGATTAATGTGTCTCTAACAGACAGATGTAGGGAATAAACACAGAAGGGAAAAAAGAAAAGTCAAAATGGGCAGAAGTACTGTCCTCCTGAAAGAAGAAGTCAATGAAAAGCCAGTTACCCTTCCGTGAGTACTCCAGAAGAACAGCAATGCACAGATGTCCAGCAGCCAAAGACATGAGACCTTGAAAGCCAGCAGCAAGAACATGCAACATTTCCAGAAACAGGAAAAAGGGAATGACATTAAAGATAAATGTGGCCATTAGCGTTTCAATGTATCAGTCTCTTCATTTTTCTTAATTAATCTGATAAGCTGCATAGTAGTCCAGGGATGAGATTTACAAACATGGATAAATTTTAGATAGAGTCTAGGAGAAACAGCTGCACAGTTTGGTGCTTTTTTGTTTTGATTTTTTTTTTTTAAAGTATCACAAAGATGAGTCCACCCAGGACTTCTCACAGCATGTAAAGAGATCCCAAAAGCTCCACTTCCATCTAAGTAAGCTCTCTAGCTGATTACATCACCACCCTCACCATAGCTGAATGCATCACACCCGTTAATGATTATTTTCCAACAGTTCCATGAGAAGTAAATTGGTATTTTTATGTTACAGATGGGAGCTGAACCCAAAGCAAAAGCCAACTAATAAGAAACAAAGACCTAGATAAATTTAGGAGGTTTAAATACAAGACTGAATGATTCACCTAAACCTTTACCACATATACAACTGTGCAAAAATCAGTGGAGCCAAAGTCATCACTGCTCCCACCTGCCACACCTCTGTAGACAGCCAGTCCCTTCACTGACACAGATGAATGACCCGCAGTCCAAAATTCAGAGCCTTTAGATCATGCAGGAATTTTTTTATACAGCAAGGAATTCAGTCCAGTCAAGTCCTTGGTTAATGACTCTGGATCCAGCAGAGACACTGTGAAACATAGGAAGAGACTTTAAAGGACCTCACATACAACTACTGACTCATGACATGCACAAGGCCATACCATTCTACACCGTGCTAAAGACTCATAGGATGTGTTGGGAGCCTGCCACAAGTAAAATTCTCATCTTAAAACTTTTTCTGTTCTACCAGCACAACACCACATTTGTTAGACTAAAACTTAATATATTAGCACGTGTCTTCCTCTTTTCTATAAAGTGTTTTAAGACCCTGATCAAACCACAGCTTCTTGGTGTGTGAAATTTGACACAAGTCTTAAAATTAGGCATATGCTCAAGTCTTCAAAGAATTTAAAATGAGAGAAGCAAAGAAGCATTTATGACCCATGACAAAACTGCTGGCCAATGAGCTAAGGAGAGGAAAAGTCAGCTTTAAAATAAATGAAGAAATTTTCAAACTTGCAGAAAATACTATTTCATTAAATTCCTCAATAAATTCAGTTATAACATTTTGATAAGTGTAAACAATTGGATTAAGCTACATCCTTAATATAATGCTTAGAGAAGAGAACAAAGATATATGAAATGTAAATATCAAAATCACCATTTTAACTTGCCATTGAACAGCTTAGATTGTTCAAGAACTGAGAATGGGAAACTATACTGAATTATACCAATACAAAATACAAACAACAAATACACAATGCCTCCTCCTAACTTGTCCCATACAGTCAAAAGGATGGGGATTTCATCATGCATGGCTAAAAATTAAACCATCTGGCCAAATAAGATAAATATATGAATTCCAAATTATGCTTGAAT